AAACGAAAGCATATTACACTCAATGAAGAAGCCTCAAGCTTTCCAGCACTGTGATGTTCTCCTTCCTTGCAGCCACCATTCTTTAATAGCTATCTTAATGGCTTAAACAAGGTCCTTGAGGGACATCCTATGCCTCACACTGTACCTTCTGTAAGGTATATGTCTTTAAGTAACTGTGGCTGTATTTCATACCAGTAAAGGTAATTTGATTTGTGATAAAATATATATCAGGAAAGAAAGAAAAAAACAATAGATAGTGACTTTTATTCTGGTATCTCTGGCACTGACCATTTATCTGTCTGGAGTCAAATCAGCAGCCTAATGCATAAACTGAAAAAAAAAATTGTGTGACTGCATCTTGTTAAGCTAAGCAAACTACCTGTTCAAATAAGTAGATCTTATTATAAACCAGATGTTTGTTCTGCCAAAAGCAAACAGCGGATGTACAAGGTAGCAAAGCGCTGTTGTCCAGCCTCTAGTCTTCGTCAAAACATGCAAACTGTAAATACCGTGCACAAATATACACAACATAATAGCTAAAATAGCCATAAAAAACAGCACTGTTTCACAGAATTGCTGTTAAATGTGACCTTAATTTCATTTTCTCCCATTTTAGTCATTGCTGTTATTCTAGAAGTGCACCAAGCAAACAGAAACCAGAAAATAGCCTGCAACAAAGCAACTGGGCTCTATCTCCACATGCAGCTTGTGTCCTCAATGTCTGCACTGTGTCCACACACTGCCTTCTAGAAGGCCATTCTTTAATGCACATCAAACTAAAAATGCCACCTTCTGTTAAGGAGAGGTAAGAAATCAAACTGGAACAGTGCAGCTACAGTAAAGCAAGACACATTTCAGTCATGAGAAAGTGTTTCTTCTCTGCACATGTGATAATATTAAGGGTCAATGCTGACAATATCTCTTCCTGAACTTAAACATCAGGTTAGCCTAAAAAATGGAGTAGCGCTCATAGTAAGAGTATGCCCTCATTATCTGTATTCCTACAGGCAGCCATTATACCTACTCATTCTATTTTTATTTTCCTTACATAGCAAAGCTGGCAAGGAAAACGCCTCAAGATCTCCCCCTGGAAAGCTTTTGAATTTGGCCTGTGCTCATAACAGTGTTAAACACTTCTGAGAGTCCCACCATCTTCAAATGCATCTCTGTAGTACAGGGAAGTAATTCTATCTCTACCTCTAGAGTACAAAGACCTTTTCTACCCCAGTAGAAATGAAGTATACCTACAATAGTATACATAAACTATTTCGGACACGGTGTGAAACCTATCCAGCTCTGAGGAGTCATTAATAATTAAACTGCAAAAGTCTGCTAAATGCAGGCCATTGATGTACCTTATGACCAGACTGTAGCTGTAAATTGTGCCCTTTTCTAACAAATGAAATGATATACTAAGGTTCCTGAGACCTAGAAGTCAAAATACAGATTCTGATGGGCTACAAGGAAATGCAAATAAGCCACTAGTTATCCTGTTTGTAGTAAGGAGAAATACTGGGTTTTTGTTTAATAAAACTAAAGTAATGCATGAAATCCTAAGTCAAAACCCACCCAATACTGGAAAAAATCAAGTTTTAGTCCCTGAACTGCCAATGACCCAGTGAGACAGACTGGTTAAATTTTCTGGGGTTTGCTTTATTGGAGTATTGTTTTCTTGTGGTTTTTTGTGAGTTTAGTATGCTTTCTTTCTGTTGTTTTGGTTTCCCTCCAACCCCTTCCTTCTGCTATTCCAGCATTAAAAAGTTGAAATGGCTAATACAACATACCTACTTAATTAAGTCCTGGAGTTTTAAGAAACATTCACAAAGCATCATGCACACCAAAATTACTAAATTTTCCAAAACCAGGAAGGAATTTTTGGGATGGGGAATCAAAGGAGATGGATGAGGGATGTCAAAGGAGAGCTTTCTTCCTAGCAATTAAACTTTCCTCAGGTCCTGATTGTCAAAGTACTACTTCTTTCATCAAGAAAAGCTCTTTACATTGTCATCAAATTTTACAGGCCATCAGTTAAATTCCTCTTAACTGGACAAAACATTTATTAAGATCTTTTAGAGATACAGGTCAAAACATCCCAACTATCAAGGCTAGTGGAGGACAAGTATTTAAGAGTATTATTTTTCCATGTGTAGCGTCAGTATGGGACAACCACCTAACTTGGATGCCCAATTAAGTCTCTGACTCCTGCTAGTTTCTTTTTATTAGCTTGTGGCATCTAATGATAATATAGATAATATCCAACAACAATATACATACCACACTGTCCACCTGCACTAACAATACAGGGGACTCATTATTGCTATGGAAGGGCAATTCCAGTGTTCGCCTCATAAAATAACTTAGAAGAGAGGACAGTACAGAATGGCCTGTCTCAAAATTATATTCCCAAAGAATGATCCCAGGACAGCCTAATTCTCTTAGCCTTACAGTAAATCACTTTCCTTGACTCAGAGCTTTAAGATTTTATTGCTTTTTAAGTTAGCGATGAAAGATTTAATCGCGGATTTGTTAGATTTAGCCCCTCAACACAGGCTTTTCCAGAACCTTCAGAGCTCCAGAAGGAGTCACAGTAGAAGCTCCCAACTACAAATAGTACTGGAAAAATTTTGGATTTACCATGGATTTCCTTCCAGTAATAATTCACAGCTTGAATTTAGGAATAAAAAAAATCTATCACTGTGTCCCCAGCACCATCTGGGAGATCAGGCTTTTGGCAAAGAAAAATGGAGCAGCAATTGCTTAGCAGCACAGGAAATCAATGACTTCCCCACTCAGGGCTGAGCAACAGGCTGCTCCTGCTGAGCACGGAGTCATTCACTTCCCTTCCTGCCAGGAAAGCTGCTCTGTACATGGAGACAGCCAAGTCCCTGGTACACCTGCAGGGCACATACCCCCCTTCCTCTAAATCCTGACCTTACCAGGAGGGTTAGACAGAGTTACACAATTCCATGCATATATCCAAAAGGGGAAGGAATGTGGTGATGGCAGTCTCTTGGGAGAGCTTCTGGACACCAGGGCTTCAGGCTACAAGGTAATTAACAAAACCACTTATTAAAGCTCAAGTCGAAGCTCATGAGTTGACAAAGGATTCAACTAAACTATGCTCCCGTAAGGGCCAGAAAAATCTGGACATCCCTTTTGCCCCAGTGGTAGAATAATACCAGGTAATTGCAGGAATTAGAGTTCCAAAACAGGTGTAAAGGGTTTTTTTGGTTTGTCCTAAGCACAATTGCTAAAGGGGAGCTTTAAATAAAAAAAGATAAAAGCAAATACTCTACCCATGAGACAACACTGGCATCCTTCCAGGCTGCACTTCTTCAGAGCTAAACCACAAGTTTATTTACATATAAAATACAAAGCATATGCATTCCATTTTTACTGAGAGGGTTTGCAGGAACCTGAATAATCATTCAAGATCTTCTGTCAATGTGATAACAGAGACTGCCACTGACCTCTGCAGCTTTAAAATCTCAACTCCTTCCTCAAATGTCTTAGTGCTCCTTGGAGTATGAGACAAGGTAAGGAAGAACAGGAGACGAGAGGTTTCCCCGACACACACTTCACCTTTGCCACAGACAAAAAGAATTTCACATCCACATTTTCCTCCAGGTCAAAGTTCCCAATAAAGTCACAGTAAGGAAATCATTGTAGGCATGTACACAGCCTCCAAAGAACTGTACTACTGTATAACTGGTGTCAGAGGTTACTGACACAAAACAGCAGATGGAAGGGACTCCTGGTCAAGCCAGACTTGGCCCTGATTTGAACCAGTGTTCTGAATAAGCAGCTTGTCCTTTACTCAGCCCTCTCTAAGATCAGAGTACTGCTGTAGCTGTTTCTGGAGCTATGCCTGCACATCAGCCCCAGTAACTGCAGGTATGTTAGGACATCACCAGATCTTGCTGAGCCTTTATTTACCTGTATCAGGCAGAATTTGGCAGCATCTCACAATATCAATGCTGTTTGCTGCATATCTGTGAACCATTGAACCAAGAATCTGTAAAAACACAGCTATATTACAGCAGAAATAGCATGGTCTCTAGCAGCTTCTAGCTTCTCAGGGACAATTCTTCAGTTTAATAAGTTACATCTGTAAATGCAAATATCTGCCTTATTTCTCTAGAGTAACCATTGCTCTAAATCAATTCAGGTCACGCTGAAATTAGCCTTGCCCTTCAGCAGGTTAAGAGCTTCTCTCGTTTTGCTATAATTAATACATGTCCATAGAAAAATTACAAATAAAGTGAAAGACAAAAAAAAAAGTGGGATTATTCTGTCTTTTTTTTCATGTCCCTCTATCCCCAAGTTCAATAAGAAGCCTCTCAAAAACCTCACTCTGCTGCAATTTAATAAGTCAGCAAAAAAGAGACACTGCTTGAAGGTATTTCACAGAAGAAATAACATGTAACCTACAAGAGACTCCTCACTAAATATGAGCACCACATTTCATCCTACCTGTATTCCTGCAATAGGGAAAAAAGATCATTCATTTTCTAAGCCTGCACCTTCTTCACTGTCCATTTTAGGTGCAATAAGATTCATCATTCAGTCACTCTGGAGAGCAGTAGGTCTGCATTTATCATGGTGAAACGCGTCCTCACTGTTTGTTCTTACAGTTTACGGAAAGCCAAGTACAATGACTCATAAAAATGCTGCAAGAAAAAGCTGAAACAAGTTAACAGAATGAGCTTCTCTTAAGTGACATCCTTCATCCTACGTTTCCGGCATGCAGAGCCAAAACCACATCACACTTTCAACTGAACAGATTTAGAGCTATTATTTATCATAAGTGGCTAGACCATCACCAAGGCCAAGCAATGCTTCTTGGTGTTCCTGAGCTGCTCACAGATCTTAAGTACACTACAAGCAGTAGGTCCACATTCTAGGGCAAATGGGACTCTCTTTTACTCATGAACTACTCTTTTCCTTTTGGAAAATTGTATTTTCTTCATGCTGAGAATGGTCATCATGAAAATTCTTACCTGTTTTCCATCTAGTGTGTACAAGCGTTTCACCACCCCTGAATCCAGCTTGATGGCATCGGTTATATCAGTAAGAACCTGTTCAAACGAATGCGCTGTCTTCTTGTTGAGCAGAATCCGGACTGCTTTCCGTGGCTTCACTCCGCTCCTGATGATAGTGACCAGTTTAGGCCGAATGAAATCCTTATTCTCTTTTGTATCGGGAGTACCTCCTTTAGCAGTGGCAAGAGATGGCACCGAACGAGAAGTAGAAGTTGTCTTAACATTCACTGACCAGTTTGGGTTTACATTCTTTGTGTACTCCAGTTTCTTGAAGGGTTCTATGGAACCACATACATAACTTTCCCCTGTGGAAACAAAAGCAAAAGTCCAGCAAGTCAGATTGGAGAGGGAAGGAAAAAGAGAAATGCAGGAAAATACAAAATCAAATCCTTCTCAAATTATTAAATATTATTCTTATCATTCTTGATCTACAGTGCATAAATATTGATCTCTTCCCTTCTCAGATGCTACTGACTACAAAATGAGTGACCTTTTAAAGATCACTCTTCAGCTAACTGTTCAAGAAATGCTGTTACAAAAATCCTTGAAAGCAGGAGTTTTCTTATCAAAAACACTCTTTGCAATGGGGATCACTGCTGTCAGTAAACACAGTATAAATAGTGTTTGTATTTCACCAGCTGCCCAGCCCCAGCACATTATCACAGTACTCTCCCAGCCTTCATGCTAAAGTGGCCCACTCCTAAGAAATCAACAGGCCACAAATACTTCAGAGGAGATACTATGAAACATTAGGAAAAAAATACAGGCTAAAAATAACTTTTTTATAAAAAGGTGGATCAAAGTATCATGGAAATGTGTTAACATTTGATTTTTTTCAAAGCTGCAGGCATCATAAGCCCAGGATATAGACAATAAACCTCCCTGTATTATTTACTGACTAAATACATAATATGTGGGGAAAGGAAGACAAAGAGTAGCAATTACAGACTTCTCATCACAACAAATTTACCATACTTAAAAGAAAAATAGTGGTTATTAGTTCCTTTTTCTGTCAGAGCATTATCTAAGTAAAATATTTTTGCAAATACCACACCCACACAACTTCTGGGGAACAGGAAATCAGCCAGAAAACCCAGTACCCTGTAGATTAGCACCTGAAACCAGTCCAGCTGAAGGCTGCTGTGTAAGGGGCGCCTGCTTGGGTGCTCCCAAACTCTCCCTTGGGCTTGACTCTGTGGCTGTGCCAGATGGGTTGGATCAGCTCAGTGATCTGACTGAGCATACCAAAAACACTATTTTGCAATATCAAGCTGATCCAATTCATCCTCTGTCCGGAGAAAAAAAAAACCAAATAAGCCAAACAAAAACCAAGAAAACTCAAAGAACCCAATACTAGATCTAGCAAGACCACACCTTCTGGCAGCCTGCAGTTAAATCACAAATAATGCAAGATCCAATACCACAGAGACATCTGAGATATTTTAGCTCTTCTGGGTTCAAGAGTTCACTGTTTGCTAACAGCGCAGAGGCCTTTGTGTCAGAAATTTAGCCCAGGGTAACAAAACAAGAACAAAACTCAGTGATGCACCTCCTATGTCTAAAAAAACATGTAAGAACCAAAGATACTCCTAATGATCCCTACCCCTAAGGAAAGGGGACTCACAGTTCATCATTAAAAGAAAAGTAAGTATTAAAAATTTACTTCTGGACAGAAATGTTAAGGTTTCAAGGCACCAAACCCAATTCCATAGATATATATTACAGCACACAAGGAATGCAGGCAAGATACACAGAGTGACCACATTTAGAAAAGGAGGCAGGGAACACTGGGACTTGAAGCTTGGATAAAGGTAGACTCCTCCTTTTAGCCACTGCTTATATACAAGATAGATAGATATGTATATGGAAATATCAGAGTAGAAAGGCTCAGCTACAGTAATGAGTGGTCAAACAGTGCAGGCTCTCCTTTATCCATGTCCCTGTCCAATTGTTCTAGTGCTAGCTACTCAGTTACTGCCAGGTCAGAATTCACCCACAGAACCACATCACAAAATTAGAAAGTTTTAAGGGAAAAAAAAAGAAATCCTACTATGAGTAAGACTACTCTCAGTAAAATAAATACCTGCTCTATAAAACAATTTGCAGAAGTCTCTTTTCTAAATTTTTAAGCAAAATTTATTCTTGTCTACACTTGTGTTTGCAGTACGATGTACAATCCACCAGCAACCTCTTTTTTTTTTTTTTTTTTTTTTTGAGGGGGATATAAATATGGATTTTCAAGTTCAGACCTATTAGGGAAATTGTTCACCTCAGCTGCACAAAATATCATTTATTTAAAATCAAATCCTCAAATTAAAACTCACTTCTCAAAGGGTAGGCTCATAAATAAATGTCGATACACAGTGTACTCAGAAGATTTACATTTCATTTATTAAGAACTCTTTTGGTTCCCCTTCTTGAAAGGACAGCATTCCACACGATTTTTAATATCAGCTACATTTAAAGGTCAGATGGATTCCTCGTAGCATTTAACTGCACATCAGCTCTTCATTACAAAACTAAGTTTGTAAGAACGATCATTAAAAAAGGACCAATAGAACCACTGAAGCTTTTGGATTGTTTGAACACAAGAATTTTTGCCCTTTCCTCATTTCCAGTGGTACCATAATTACATCAATAAAATATTTACACCAAGATAATTTCCTCCCTTCAAGAGGCTCATATTTAGCTACAGAACACCTGGGACGTAGAGCATCCAAGGCCTTTTACAGTGAAATATCTTTAGTAAGAACTATTTTATACAGGTTAATAGAAATACAGATACTTCTTCCATAATGTTGTTGTTTACAACTATTTTAAACATTACCCAGAGATGCAATTTTCATGCATGCTGGTCCTAAGGGTCAGGCATGTAAGAATAAAGAATCTTTAGCACCTCTGGTGATTGTATGCAGAGTAAATCTCAAAGAAAGGGACAAAAGGTCTTCACCTAGATTTTCATTCTCTTCTTTTCCACCAGTACTGTCAGGAGAGAAGACTGTAAAGAAGTTTCACAAGGGGCATGGCTCAGAAGTCCAATAAATCTATTGCCTGCTTTAGCTATTGCTTCCTCATGATCAGATTTGAGTAACTGGCAGCTGGAAGAAGAAAGTAACAATCTCCAGACCAGTCAGCTGTCACTAATGGAATTTTGACTCTTGATTACAGTATCAATAGCCATTAGGAAAAGAAAAGAGGAGCACCCAGCTGCTTTGGGAGATCTGGCATTGAGGAAAAAAAGTGATTACTACACCTTACAAAGTATCCCTTTCCTGGGAGCCTCTTTACAGCAACAGTGGAAATAAAACACCACTGGAACCTTTCAAAAAAAAGATGTACAGCACCTCTTGGTAAGTTTCAAATCACTAATCCTACAATTTAATTTTTATAAATGCTCAACACTTCAGGAAATACTATGTGGAACAATAAAATTAATCTTAGCATTGAGAAATTAATCAGAAAGCTAGTCATGTAGAAGGGCAGATCTCAAAACAATGTTTATGTTAAAAAAAAACACCAAACAAAAAAACAACTACCCACAGTTACACATCTGTCAAAATTCAATGCAGCTAAGCTATCAGAGACATGGAACACTGGAGGATAGCTCTTATAGGTCATGACACAATTTCAAGACATGCATCTCTTACTAAATATTTTTTAAAATGGCATCTGTGTGTACAAAGTGGTTGCTAAGGAGACATTGAATCAATGCACATACTTATGTATGAGCTAGAGCTTTCCTGATGTGAGTGTCTCCCTGTTTTCCACATTGGTACTAGCAGTTAATTTGCTTTCTTCAGCTTCCTGATATTCCTCCTATAAGAGCAACCAAGGCATCATCTCTTAAAAGCCATTTTTTGTGTTGCTTTTATATGTTTAAGGTGACTTGGCCTAAAGCAGCTTCATGAGGAAGCCAGTTGATGCTAGGTGGAAACCCTGGAGAAGGAAGAGAGAACCTGTTTGAATCACACAACCAGAGAGGGAACATCAACCCCTCTTCGCAGAGGTCAGGACTTGCCCATTTATGGAAAATAGTGTTGATTCCTTGGAGTACAGTATGTAGTAGGAACATAAAGATAGTTTATTAATTAGCAGTGATTTAATTTCCCCAACAGATAGGGCAGGAAATATGTTTAGAGGATGGGGAAAGGACTAGCACCCCCCAGAACTCCATACCCAGGCATACCTTCCTTCTCTCACTTCTGCCCTTTGGTTTTATACATACAAGGCAGAATCTCAATCTCTCAGGAGAAAGGACAGAGAATTCTGACTGTGCCTTACCACACAGAGCAGATTGCAAAAGGAAGATGACCTGAATGAAATAAATTACTGATACCTGATAGATCCCAAATGCGTTAGTTAATAGAACAGTAACCTACTTTAACTACATTGCTCCTGCCTTGTCTTTCTGCAGGCTCTGAAAAAAATGCAGTGGTGCAAAAGAGATGGAGCATGTACAGGAAATAAATCTGACCTACACAGATTCACCTAGCAATCAGATGCACCAGAAACTTTAAATCAGATGTCCTCTGACCTTTGAAAGGACTTCTTTCACAAACTTTCCTTCTTCTCAGTTCAGACCAAAAAGTTCTTTTTTTTCCTCTCATCAAAAGCCAAATAAAAATACTTCCTCTTCCTCTGCCCCCTCAAATTTCTGCAATCTTGTTACAAGTAAGATATACACTGTACACCCTTAAAAAAAAAAAACACCAAAAATAATGTAAAGCACCTAGAATAAGAAACCACATGGACTTCCAAGAAGCTGTTAAGCAAAACACAAAAATAATCAAGCAGCTAAGGGATGAACAAAATAATCAAATAAACATTGCCAGTACAACCCTCTACTATTTTATGCAACAGGATCATTCAGCTGTTTGTTTATTAAACAATATAAGGACTGCAGCCATCTCTGCCACAGGATTCATTCCAAGTTTCCCTAAATTTGATAGCCCTGGATCAAGTCCATGATAAATATCCAGTGTAAATTTAATCCTACAAACAAATGTCCACATAGATTCAGCTCTACAAACATTTAAACAGACACTTTACTATTATTATTTTGATAACACATTACACATGCATATGAATCTTTCCAGCCCATCAATTCCCAGCTGCTGAGGTAGGCATGATCCAGAAGAAAGAAGCCATAGAAGCTCTAAAGCATCAGAGACCATGTCAATCAATTCCTAAAGTATGACCTGGCTGGGCTTCTCACCAACAACACCCAAGTGGTTGCCAGAGTCAAGAAGGCAGCAGGAATACAGCAGGAAGGAGAGGGAGAAGCTGAGGTATGAGAAATGAGGTGATAATAGGAGTAGCAAGACCCATATACACAAGAAGTTAGGAACACTTGCAGCCCATCACTTCAGCAAGGAGACATTGCCCTTTGAACCCTCCTCTGGCAGGCAGCTTCTCTGAGCACAAGCTGCCTGCCTCCATCACCAGAGCCTCCCCACAGTCCTCATGTGACCCAGCACCTCCTCTGCCCTGCAGCAAGGTTCACATCTCCCAAGAGTTATTAGCTGGTTACAGCTATTACTGGATTTTAAAGCTGGTTTATCTGCATCCTTTCAAACTGCTCCTTCAACAAGGTTTGCAGTTCTGAGGTAATTTTCTTTTTCAGATTATTCCTTAAAACTGTTTTTGCCATTATGCCTACACAAAACATGCACACACAGATAGAAGTCTTTAGAATCGTTTGGCAGTGCACCCAATATTGACATGTGACAAAATTGTTTCCCAGTATGCTCTCAGCCTTGTGGTCTGGGGTTTTTGGTTTGTCTTTGACTGCCAGCTCTCAGCTGCAGGTTTCAGCTTTGTGGAAGGTGTTGCAGAAACCTAAAACAATCAATTCTGATTCACACCCAAGACTCTGAGGTAATATTATGATAAAAAATAATGAGAAAGGGATGCAGTTCTGGCTATGGATTGATCTGTGGTCTTTGTTCCACATAGCAGGGCCCCAGGCATAAAACCTGTAAATATTCTTTGTTTCAGAGTTATCTTGCCACGTTCATTGGTTATTTTGCGGGTAAGACCTCTCCATCTTTAAGGATGATATGGTTTTGGAGAAGCAAAGTCCTTTCCTTAAACTTCCTTTATAGCTAAAAAATTTAGCCTTCAAGAGCAACTTCATCTTTATTGTTTCTACATGCTCCGATTGCATGTCATGCCTAGGGAATAAAGTCATATCACATTCAGAATCCATTCTTTAAACCTAAGAGGGTCCTAACATCAGGGCTGACAAAAAGAAGGAACCTGAATCCATTGCATTATTTCCTTCATGTAGGGTGGCAGAAGTTACAGACTATGTGAAACTTTTTACAAGAGTACGTACCCCCTGTTTTCAAATTCCAACAAATCTCACATGCCTAAGTCTTAAGAAAAACAAAAAACAACCAAACAAAAATACAAGGGGGGAAAAAAATGAAAACAAAAAAACAAAATCAATCAAACCACAGAACCCAGAAAACTCCAATGCCCAAAGAAGTCATTACTTTCAAATAAAGGGAAAACACAACCATGCATCTCAAAATAATCTACAGCACCAGCATACAGCCATGCCAGCTCTGAACTGTATGCATAATGAAACTAAATATAACTGAAGCAAAACAGCTCGTTTACAATCTCTTTCCTTTGGGACTATCTTTCATGCAGTTTTGTGTATTTAGCTCTGGGATAACAGTGGCTGCTCTCTCATTTCCCCCAAGAGCCTCTCTGTCTTTATGTATCTCATGAGAAGGTAAGAGTACAGGAACTTCCTCACAGGCATAAAGGCAAAAAAACAACTCTAAAAATCAAGGGTTTATACATTTGCTTTCCATTGCAATCACCAAATCAATGCCCCCCCCAATCACGTAAATTCATAACACTCTCAATATATTAATTAGTGAATTCACACAGGAAGGGAATAGCCTCACCATGAAGAAAGCAATGCTTCCTATTTCAGTAGTTGGAGCACAAATGTCATTTGGCAAGAGGCAAAAATCAAGTGATTTTCCAGCTATTTAAACACAAAGCACAGCTTCAAGCTAATTAATGCTGTACCAGGCAAGCCAAACTCTAATAAATTTGTATAGTAAAGAGTGCAAGGGGCTTATGCAAAAACCATCACTGAGCTAATAATATATGAACCCGTGCTCCACTGAGAAGTTCTGCAAGTGAAACAACCTACCCTGCCGTTTTATACAAATAAACAGAAGCCCCTTTTCAGATAGAATGAGGATGTAGCTCTCTTCTTCCACACAAAGACTGACTTCTGTAAATCCCACACACTTAATGGGACAAGAAAACAAGACTGTCCTCCTTGAACGATACCAGTAAGGGAAGATGTATTCACTGAAAGGGTAAGGAATAAAGTCCCACAGGACAAAAAGAAATCCCAGTTGCCTTCTTTAAAATAACCCTAGGCTCTCACACTGTCATTCATTTTGACTGACTGATTAATAACTGGCATTATTCTTCACTAGGGCGCCAAAATAAACCAACCTTACAGGTTGTTGGATTTATTTCTGAATTCAGTTCTTTTTCAAAACTGGTTCTGACTGGCTGCAAAAGGACTGTGCAAATCAACCTTAACATCAATGAAGCTTGCTTCTTGTTGAGCATACCAATCAAATAAGCAAAGGCACAAAGATTGCTTTTAAAACAGACGTTGATTAATATTGGTCTGTCCCCCCAGAAATTGATTTTCTCTAGCAATTAAATACTGTCCTGACAAATGTAGTTTTAACTGTGCCCTGAAATTGATAATATTGCTCCCAAGACCAGTTTCCTTTCCACTTCACTACACCTCTGGTCCTAACCTCCAAACATGTTACTTGGACAGGCAGTCCCGCCCCTTCAATTTTCTTCCAGGAGCATCTTCATGTTGTCCCCTAGCTTCCTTTTAACACAAGGAAGATTATCAAGAATATCAGGCTGTCAATACTGAAAAAGCTTTCCTATGCTGTGACAAAAAGGAGACAACCCAACAGTGGCAGAACACCTTCTATGCAAAGCTGTGGTCCTCCTTCAGGAGCCACATTTGGCATTACCCTTTTATTCTTCTCTCTCCATATTAGCCTTCTTCTGATCCTCTCATTTCCTCCTCATACTGCAAGTTCTCTCACCTGGTGCTAAGAATGAAAATCACATATAAATTACAATCTCTGTTACAACTCTAAATTGGCTGTCTGGTGGCTATCTATCCATTCTTTATTGGTTTGTCCATGGCACACTGGGGCCAGAGGTAAGATGGAAACAAAAGCCAATGAACTGTTCCAGCTTTGTTTTCTTGGAACACAATCAAGCACCTGCATTTAAACCTCACAGGTAAGAAATTCTCATTTATGGCCATGTGATAGTGAATGTCTTCATACTCCGCAGATTCTGATGTTTTACACTAAAAATCCACTGCAGTCCAGAAGCACTTCATGTTGGAAAAGCTACTTTACCTATTCGTAAAACTTGTGAAACGTATTATTAATTTTTAAGTTTAATATTCAAATTGATTAATGCTGACAGTTTCTTTTGGAGGTAGAACAACCACTGAAGGAGTGATAAATTTGTTCTCAATGGGCAAATTAATGACTGGCATGTCTGACATTTGAAAGTTACCATGAATTGTCAGTTCTGACCAAATCACTGGTGATGGCTTATACTGCAGGTACATGAGCCTCTTTTACAGAGTACGTAAGATCTCTACAACTACCTGAAGGAGGTTGTAGCAAGGTGGATGTTGGTCCTCTCTCACAAGTAACAAGCGATAAGACAAGAGGAATAGCCTCAAGTAGTGCCAGAGCAGGGTCAGATTGGGTGTTAGGAAAAATTTCTTCATGGAAAGGGCTGTCAAGCATTGGAACAGGCCATCCCTATAGGTTTTTAAGATGTGCAGATGTGACACTTAGGGATATGTTTTAGTGGTGGCCTTGGCAGTTGTGGGTTAATGGTTGTACTCAATGATGCAAGAGATCTTTTTCAACCTTACCAATTCTATGACTGGGGAAAAGGGATATGCTACAGAGGAAAAAATGTTTACAATCTACCCCAGCTGAATCACAGCTACAACATTTATGCCACCCAATGAGAAGTTAGTATTTTACTTAAGGCATATTTACCTGTAGAGAAAAGATAGAGCTCTTCATTAGGCTGCACAGACTTAAAAAACCAAAAACATCTGAACTGAATTTCACACAGGTTTCATTAGCACCACAGACCTTTTGAAGTTTAACAGACTAAACTCTCACTGGTACTTTACCCTGCATCTTTACGAAAAGAAGGATAGATGCAATCTTCAGAATCTAGGAGCTCAACACTGTGTTGAAAGGAAAAGGTTAGACATGTTCAACAAGAAGGAAATAAGTAGCAAGGCAAAAATAATTCAATATTATTATATTAAGATATTCACAATTCTATTCAGACCATTGAAAATCCTTCCTTTATCAATAAGAATACCATTATCTCTTTTTGAAAGACTTAACAGATTAGACAAAGGCTGACGCAAACTTAGCCTTACACCTCCAGATCTTACTGCTCACCTTCTACTAGCTGGTCCAAGGAGGAAATCTTCTTGGAGCCATCAATTGTATAGATTGTTCTCACTCCCTGGGGCAGGTTCACATTGTCGGACAGAGTTCGGGTCAGGTCAGCCAGGAGAGCTTCAAAGGATCTAAAGCGGTCAGGGGAGATGGCATATACAATCCCTTTGAAATACCGGTCTCCATTACGATAGAAACGAACTTTCTTGGCTTTCTTCTCAGAACTCAGGGTCTGTAGAGTACGGGTTCGGTAAAAGCTGCAGTGGGCACTGTGGGTAGGGCTGGGTAAACCATTCACCCGGGACCCTCTACCATATCGCTGCGCTTTATCACGCTCATCAAAGTGCTCCAGCTCCATATCTCTCCCAAGGGACATCTTGAAGTTCAACCTAAGGAATGCACAAAGGAGAGAAAAAGCTTAAGAAACTAAGAAGTTTTAAGGGAGGACAGTTTAAGACTTCCTGTTCTATATGTTGTTCTTACAGAGGACTGTAAATGTACAAACATTTGAGAAAAGTGTTTGAATAAAACCATGCTCCATTCACATGGTCATTTTGCACATAAGCCTCTTGCCATGCCGTAAGAGCTATGGTAAGTTAGACGTGTAACAACATCACTGACGAGCCCAAATGCTAACGATATGCAAACACTGAGAAGTGTTTGTTCCAATTCAGTATGTTGGAAAATGAGGTGATGAAGCTGACCTACTGGAAAAAAAAGAACAAATGCATCAGCTTTCTACTTTTTCTCATGTTATATTCAGGTGCTATTTGAGTCTCATCTACCTTCTAAACTGTTTGCCGCCACCAAACTCTTGGTTCCAATCGTGATCTCAAGAGGTTGCTGTTTCAGAAGGACAGCCAGTTGCCAACAACTAAGCAATTAAGGAATTTTCAGAGGAACAGATCTGGCGTGTTGGCAATGAGAATCAGAACTATCACTCATAGTGGGTCAATCCCAATGTTAGAATCTACCTGCATATTCCAACCATTGGATTCCTCACAGCCTAAGCTTTGTAATAAATTGCTTCAGTTGTCCTTGTGCAAATGCTTTACACAGTCTGAACCAACAGAAGGGCTCAAAGGACATGAAATTCTAAAAAAATATGTTAGAGGGAGACGGTGTTTTTCAACGAGCGATCTACTTCAGTGCTCTATGTCTTGCAAGATGTATTACTAATATCCTAAGCCTAATACTCAAATTGATTAAGGCAAACAGCTTCTTTTGCCATCACCAAAGGACTGATAAAATCAGTGTAATTGAGCAAATCAGCAATTGGTGTCTCCCATGTTAGAAAACCCATCAGCCCTGACCAAAACAATACCAGTTGTTCAATACAGTTTACATAAATTGAAGTTCACATGTCCTGAAATAAAATCAAGGAGGCAAATACTTCTGTTCCATTTTGACAACCAACCCAAGACTAAATAGTACAAAGTGCACATTACTCTTCACAAATAGAAGACACAAAAATACCAAAAAAATAAAATTATCAAAATATCATTAGCTTCAAAACATATTCATTTTCATTTAGGAGCCACCTAGATTTGCAGTTGTCTGCAGAACAGTAAAGCATTGTAAGTTTATTTATAGCACAGATACATAGACCTAATTTAGAAGTGGCCTCTCTCATTGATTTCCAATAAAAAGACAAAAACCAGCAAGCACTAGCTTTGTTTCAACCACTCATATTGATGTGACCATTAAGAAAAAAAGATGTATTCAAACCAGCTGTAGAACAGTGCGAGGAAATAGAGAAAAACTTACAGATGCTCTTTGGCTTGCAGAAGTTTGTGTTAAACCAGTGATTATATAGCTGGACTCTGATGCTGCAAAGCTGTAGGTGATGTGCTCAGCAACTTCTCAGGGCAGTCCATGTGCTGGACTAGCACAAGCACCTAAGGCAAATGTGGGGCCCCAATGGAAATTATTTACCCTAGTTTGGTTACAGCTCACAACTGACATTGTTACATTGACACAGGATCACATGCTTATGTATAAATGCAGGATTTATACTTGTAAATCCTTTAAAAGTACCTACACCTTGTACAGTGTGTGTGTGTGTTTTCTTATATGTATAAGAAAAAGACTAATCTCTGCTTTTCCCATGCACACTACATCCCACTTCAGTGAAATGAACAAGAACATTTGCTGTGGTATTTCACTGATGCTTCTTTATAGGTTAAATGCAAAATATAGCTTAGTGGCCATATTTTAGGATTGAGAGCACACCACCACTGCTTCCATGTTTTAAAAAAATTGTCATTTATTTTAACTCACATCCAGTCCCAGTGGGAACCTGTTATTGAGATTTAACTATCCCAGAATGCACAATTCAGAAACTGTATCTCTGTAGAAATTCCCGTGCCAAGAAAAATGGATTTTTCTTAGGTCTGCTGATTCCTTTACTCAAACCATCTCAAATATACACCAAAATTCCACCCCAGCCACCAAAAAAAATAATATATATAAAAATAAAAAGTTTAGAAGAAGATATACTCTTTCAGCTTTATTAATTTTAGATGAGGGGTGGAAGAAGTGCCAGTCACTGTCCTTTATTTCACACGTTTATGCTTTTACCAATAATGCCTATAATTCCCAACTACATCCTTAAAACCGAAATAGAGCTCCCCTTTAGCTCCACAGTTCTGGTATGTATAGAAAAGCGTGTTTAAACCACAAGGTCAGAGCAGACAAAGAAATCCTAAACAATTTGATCTGATATTTCCGTTTGTATGCATAAATACATAGTCTTATACAGGCAGATACGGAAAAACGAACAGACACGCCCCTGAAAAACCACCATGCCAACACTTCACACCCTGACATCTGTTAAAGAATCATTTATAATCCAGGTGTGGGTGATCATTCCCATGGAAAAAAACCACACATGCTGATAAAAAACCCGCACCACGCCGCGATGTGTCTGGGACCCAGCGCAGATCATACGGCGACGAAGCAGCAGGATGAGCACGAGTCACCTGCGGAGGGCGGCGGGTTTGGTGGGGGAACACGGACACATGCGGCAGCGGGTTCACGAAAAGATGGGGTTCGTTCTGCTGGGGTGGGGGAACCGCGCGTGGAACATCCCCATTCCTCTGGAGGCGGCACCAGGCTC